TGGCTAAGCCAAGTCAAAACAGGAGCCAGGAACTCAATCTAGATCTCCCATTTGGGTGGTAGGTACTTAACTACCTAACCCATCACCTGCTGCTTCCTAGGGTGTACATTAGCAGGAAGCTGGATCAGAAGCAGAGGAGACAAGACTGAAACCCAGGCAATCCAGTATGGGATACAAGCAATCCAAGTAGCATCTTAACTGCTGGGCCAAATGCCTGCCCCGATTTATCTTTTATTTAATTTTATTTTTTTAAGATTTATTTTATTTATTTGAAAGAGTTACACAGAGAGAGAAGGAGAGGCAGAGAGAGAGTCTTCCATCCACTGGTTCACTCCCCAGTTGGCCACAACAGCAGGAGCTGCGATGATCTGAAACCAGGAGCCAGGAACTGCTTCCTCCAAGTCTTTCCACGGGGGTGCAGGGTCCCAAGGACTTGGGCCATCTTCTACTGCTTTCCCAGGCCATAGCAGAGAGCTGGATCAGAAGTAGAGCAGCCAGGACTTGAACCAGCGCCCATATGGGATGCTGGCACTGCAGGTGGCAGCTTTACCTACTGTGCCACAGCGCTGGCCCCAATTTATCTTTTAATTCCATTTCTCCATGAACTTTTTGAAGTACCTTCTTAAGTGATATTTAAAATACAGCTCATGCCAGATAATTCAGTTTCTGTTATTTGGATTTTTGCCCTTTTTAGCTCTTGTAACTTCAATTTGTGCAGTCCTTTCCCTTTTGTCAGCAATTCTAAAGGTTTTTCAGTTATTTGATTCTTTTCAGTTAAAAAAATACATTGGCCTTTGAATCTGGGATCTGGGAAGTCCCCTGGTTGTGACTATGTGAAAGTCACCTAATCTACTGAGTTTCAATGTCAAAAAGCTACAAAATAAAAGTAGAAAGATGGAACAATGATTGCTAACTTTCCTTTCAGAGAATTCTATGAATTCTATCTTTTGCACAATATTTTATGTTGTAAGTGTGGGGGCAATGGGTCATGTAGCTGACAGGATTAACATGGAAGGAAGAGACCCTGCTAGGACTTGAGTGTTTGAGTAGATAGAACCACAGAAAAGGAAATGAGAATTGCTTCTCCTTTTTAATTTTGTTGACACATTACTTTAACTTCTGCTAACAATATAAGGCCTTGTGACAACATTTGCTTAACTCAACAGAACTACTTCCAAGTCACAAAAATATTTTGGGCTTATACAAAAACAAACAGAAAATGCCAATATAGCCAATAAAAATTGGAGCTTAAAAACCAAAAGGAAGTTAAAAGGAACAGCATAGGTACCAGGAAGCACTCCAGGTAAGAACTGAATGATTAAAAATTAAATTTTAAATTTAATTGAAAAAGAAAAGAGATCAACCCCCAAGATAAGCATCCATCCATTCATGTAATCTCTTTTTAAAATGATTTATTTTGTTTTTATTTGAAAGGCAGAGTTACAGAGAGATCTTCTATCCACTGATTCACTCCCCTCAGTGGTCGCATTGGCCAGGGCTGGGCTGAACTGGCACCCATATGGGACGCCAGCACTGCAGGTGGCAGCTTTACCTGCTACACCACAGCGCTGGCCCCATTCATGTAATCTTTAAGTGTCACATCCTGTAAGGCACTCTGCTAAACCCTCTGGGATAACCATCTATGAACAAGACTCATCTTTTTTTTAAAAGATTTATTTATTTATTTAGTAGGCAGTGTTACAGACAGAGAGAGGTAGAGACAGGGAGGTCTTCCATCTGCTGGTTCACTCCCCAAATGCCCATAATGGCCAGAGCTGAGCTGATCTGAAGCCAGGAGCTTCTTCCAGATCTCTCCCTTGGGTGCAGAGGCCCAAGCACTAAGGCCATCTTCTACTACTTTCCCAGGCCATCAGCAGGGAGCTGGATAAGAAGTGGAGCAGCCAGGAATTGAACCACTGCCCACATGGGATGCTGGCACTTCAGGTGGAGGCTTAACATATTACACCACAGCATCGGCCCTTAAGACTCATTTTCATAAACATCTGACTTAAGGCCAGAATGATAAATGAAAGAGCTACAATAATAATTATAAGACAAAATGTGCCATTGAAAATATTAAAAAAAAGTTCAACCACACTCACATAACATTAAGAGGTGAAGAATTAATTTCTGATTAGAATTATAAGGCTATTTCAACAAAGATACAATATTGGAACTGGATCTTGAATAATGGGTAGAATTTTAACAGGTCTATAAGAGGTTTAGGTGAAGGTAATAATTTCACATAAAAGTAAACAACATTAGCCAAGGAATAGAAAACAGCACTGTTTTGCAATAGTAAGTTGTTCTGGAAACTGAAGTACGTTGATGGAAGTCTTCAGGATTAAGGGAGGGTATTATCACAAGGGCCAAGAGAAGAGAAGGGTAAGGGGTCAGTGTATCCAATAATACATAAGATGTTGTCAGGCTGGCGCCGCAGCTCAATAGGCTAATCCTCCGCCTTGCAGTGCCAGCACACCGGGTTCTAGTCCCGGTCGGGGCGCCGGATTCTGTCCCGGTTGCCCCTCTTCCAGGCCAGCTCTCTGCTGTGGCCAGGGAGTGCAGTGGAGGATGGCCCAAGTGCTTGGGCCCTGCACCCCATGGGAGACCAGGGTAAGTACCTGGCTCCTGCCATCGGCTCAGCACAGTGCGCTGGCCACAGCAGCCATTGGAGGGTGATCCAACAGCAAAAGGAAGACCTTTCTCTCTGTGTCTCTCTCTCACTGTCCACTCTGCCTGAAAAAAAAAAATATGTTGTCGAGGATAAAAACAGAGAGATGTTTGGATTTGCTTTTCAGAGGCAACTCCAGCAGAATGATGAGAGCAGAAGCCAAATTACAAAGGATTATGAAGTGGGTAGCCCCAAATCTAGTCAATATCCTTGAAGAAGAAAAACCATGTCAGGGACTGGTGCTGTGCTGAAGAGGGTAAGCCGCTGCTTGCAGAGCTGGCATTCTATAGCGGGTTGAGTCTTGGCTGCTCTGCTTCCAGTCCAGCTTCCTGCTAATGAGGCCAAGAAGCAGCAGATGAAGTCCCAAATCCTTGAGCTCTTGCCACCAACATAGGAGATCCAGATGGAGTTCCAGGCTCCTGGCTCCATCCTGGTCCAGCCCAGGTTGTTGTCATTTGGGGAATGAACCAGCAGATGGAAGATCCCTTACTGTGTGTTGCTCCGCATTTCATATAAATAAATAATTTAAAAAATAAAATAAAGAGATATAACACACTGAATCAAAGTATGGTCCAGATTGGATATCAGTGTGGGCAAACCAGCTATAAAAGATATTTTGGGGGACAACTGTAAAATAATCAGATAAATGTTAGTTATTCCCTATGATACAATCTTACTGAATGAGAAAATCCAGTGGAAAATAGTCTTTGCCCTCAGAGAAATGAAAATACAAAAGGTTAAAATTTTGCATGTTATTTTAAGGTGCTGATGAGGCTCCCTAAAGCCATTTCAGAACCTCAGGTTGGAGACCTGACGTGTGGAAGCTTCTGTTTGTTTACTCACTTAGCTTATTTGTTTCTTTTCTTTTAATTTATTTGAAAGGCAGAGATATAGTGAAAGAAGGAGAGACAAGGAGATATTCTGTCCACTGGTTCACTCCCCAAATGGTCACAACAGCTGGGGCTGGGCCAGGCCAAAGTCAGGAGCTTATAACTCCATCTGGGTCTCCCACATGAGTGGCAGGATCCCAAGCACTTGGGCCATCCTCTGCTGCCTTCCCAGGAACATGAGCAGGAAACTGGATCAGAAGTGGAGCAGCAGGGATTCCACCCAGTACCCATATGGGATGCTGGTATTTTGGGCAGTAGCTTAACTTGCTGCGCCAAATCGCTGATTTCATGTTTATTTTCTTTTTAAAGATGTATGTATGCATGTATGTATTTGAAAGATAAAGTGACAGCAAGAGGAGAGAGATTCCCCAAATGGCTGCAACAGCCAGGGTTGGGCCAGACCAAAACCAGGACCCAAGAATCCGTCCAGCTCTCCTATGTGAGTGGCAGGGACTCACTTGAGCCATCATCTGCTGCTTCCCAGCACATTAGCAGAGAGCTGGATCAGCAGTGGAACAGGCTACATTTGAACCGGTGGGCCGATATGGGACTTGGGGGTCCCAAGTAGCAGGCTAACCAGTTGTACCACAACACTTGCCCTACTGTCTCTTTTTTAAAAATTATTTAATTTGAAATGTGAGGAGGAAGCACTCCCATCTGCTGGTTCACTCTGACAAATGCCCAGCGCTGGTGCTGGACCGGGACCAAAGCTCAGTCAGGAACGCATTCCACCTTTCCCACACGAGTGGCCAAAACCCGAATAGCTGAGCCATCACCGCTACCTCCCAGTAGCTTCATTAGCGGAAGCTGGAATCAGGAGCCAAAACATAGAACCCCGGTACTCCTATGTGGAATGCAGGTGTCTTTTTTTTTTTTTTTTTTTTTCAGGCAGAGTGGACAGTGAGAGAGAGAGAGAGACAGAGAGAAAGATCTTCCTTTGCCGTTGGTTCACCCTCCAATGGCCGCTGCAGCTGGCGCACCGAGCTGATCCGAAGCCAGAAGCCAGAAGCCAGGTGCTTCTCCTGGTCTCCCATGGGGTGCAGGGCCCAAGCACTTAGGCCATCCTCCACTGCACTCCTAGGCCACAGCAGAGAGCTGGACAGGAAGAGGAGTGACCGGGACAGAATCCAGCGCCCCGACTGGGACTAGAACCCGGTGTGCCGGCGCCACAGGCAGAGAATTAGCCTATTGAGGCGTGGTGCTGGCCACAGGTGTCTTAACTACTGGGCTAAACCCCTGCTCTTGTTTAGTAGGGGCCATTGCATGAGGAAAAGAACCAATGAAAATATGGAAGATTGAAAATACAAGAAAAAGAGAAATTCACACTGATACATTTTATGGACTTCTAAATAAGGTTATCTTTATTTATTTATTTATTTATTTATTTATTTTTATTTGACAGGTAGAGTTATAGACAGTGAGAGAGACAGAGAGAAAGGTCTTCCTTCCATTGGTTCACTCCCCAAATGGCACTATGGCTGGTGCTGCGCCAATCCAAAGCCAGGAGCCAGGTGCTTCCTCCTGGTCTCCCACGCGGGTGCAGGGCCAAGCACCTGGGCCATCCTCCACTGCCTTCCCGGACCACAGCAGAGAGCTGGACTGGAAGAGGAGCAACCGAGACTAGAACCCGGTGCCCATATGGGATGCCAGCGCCACAGGCAGAGGATTAACCAATTGAGCCACGGCGCCAGCCCCCAAGGTTATCATTTTGATAGACACTTAAATCTATCCAAACAGATCTTACAAATTTTGATTGCATTTTAGTTTATTATTTTTCACATTATTTGAAATGGAGAGAGAAAGAGGAGACAGAGAAAGAGATCTTCCATCCTCTGGTTCACTTCTCAAATGCCCACAACATCCAAGACCAGGCCATGTTGAAGTCAGGAGCTCAGAATTCAACCCAGATCTCCCACAGAAGTGGCAGGGACCCAAGTACTTGAGCCATCACTTGCTGCCTCCCAAGGTGAACCCTGGCAGGAAACTGGATGAGAAAGAGAGAAGCCAGGACCTCTGACATAGGATGCAGGTATCTCAAGGGACAATTTAACTGCTGTGCCAAATGCATGCTCCCCAAATTGTCTAACAAAGAATGTTTCTGTGTGTTCCAGTGTGAGGCCAAGAAATGCAAACTAAAACAGTGTGCAGGCTCTCTGCCTTTGTGTTTCCCCATCACCCATGTGACGGTTAGACGTCTAGGAATACGCATTTTTTAAAAGCTATTGTTAGTGTTAACATTTCTTTTTATCTTCTTGCAGCAGATTAGCCATGGAATCTTTCTCCGCTGAGACCAATTCCACTGAATTATTCTCACAGCCTTTGGATAACCCCCTCATGATTCTCTCTATGGTCCTTCTCAGCCTCACTTTTTTATTAGGGCTGCCAGGAAATGGACTGGTGTTATGGGTGGCTGGCCTGAAGATGCAGCGGACGGTGACCACGGTTTGGTTTCTCCATCTCACAGTGGCAGACTTTATCTGTTGCCTCTCCTTGCCCCTCTCCCTGGCTCACTTGGTTCTCAACGGATACTGGCCCTATGGCTGGTTCCTTTGCAAGCTCATCCCCTCCGTCGTTATCCTCAACATGTTTGCCAGCGTCTTCCTGCTCACAGCCATTAGCCTGGACCGCTGTCTCGTGGTCTTCAAGCCAATCTGGTGCCAGAATCATCGCACTGTCAAGACAGCCTTGACTATCTGTGGGTGCATCTGGGTGATGGCCTTTATAATGTGCATTCCTGTGTTTGTGTACCGGGAAACGTTCACCTTACATGGCCATGAAATGTGTGGCTACAATTTTGATCTCTACAGCTCACTAGATTATTCAGACTTCCCCTTTGATCTCGATTTCCTGGAAAACGGGTCTTTTTACAACTACATTGTTCAGCTGCCAGGAGACATGGATAATGGGTTAGATCCTTCCTCTATCCAAACAGATGAGCAACTGTGGACAGCAACCATGGACCTCCATTTTCAAACATTTCAAGGACCTTTGAGAGACTCATTCCCCACAAGATTATCTCATCAACCTCCACGTGATAATTTATTCAAGCCTACCAGTGTCGTTCCACCTACAGTTCCCAATGGGTTTCCCACTGAAGAGCACGGAACTAACCCACTGGATCATTCTGGTGCTTTCCTGCCTACTGACTTAGAACTTCTTCCTAGTACTTCTGGACATTCTTTATATGCATCTGAACTATCGCAAGATCTCCAGTATGATTATTTAGATCAATATAAACATGTCAGTCAACCCCTGCTGGTAATAACCTTCACAAGGTTAGTGATCGGTTTCCTACTGCCCTTTGTCATCATGGTGACCTGTTATACTTTCATTGCCTGCAGAATGAAGCAGGGTCGCTTTGCTAAGTCAGGGAGCAAAACCATTCGCTTGGCCATGGTGGTGGTGACTGTGTTTTTTGTCTGCTGGGCTCCATATCACATGGTTGGAGTCCTGTTATTGTTTTTTGATTCAGAAACTCCCTTTGGGGAAACACTGGTGGCCTGGGACCATCTATCCATTGCTTTAGCATCTGCCAATAGTTGCTTCAATCCCTTCCTTTATGCCCTCTTGGGGAAAGATTTCAGGAAGAAAGCAAGGCAGTCCTTGCAGGGCATTCTGGAGGTGGCCTTCAACGAGGAGCTCACACACTCCACCAGCTATACCCGAAACAAGGCCTTTTCAGAAAGGAGCACCATCAGCACAACTGTGTGAAAATCTGGAGCAGAGGTTCTGACCTAGCGGGAGACATTCCCCACAAGATTATCTCGTCAACCTCCACGTGATAATTTATTTAAGCCTACCAGCATCGTTCCACCTGCAGGATGAGGGACATGGTGGACAGAAGAATGTGGAAACCTTCAGTCGAGTATGGTCTCCAAGTATGGTCCTGGACCACTGCCCTCAGCATCACCCGGAAAGTTGTTAGAAATGCAAATTCGTAAGCCCTATCACAGACCTGTCGAATCAGAATCTCTAGGGGATGGGGCCTGGTAGGGGTTTTAACAGGCTTTCATGTTTCTGATTAACACATAATCTGAGAAGCATTTCTACCTCAAACTAAGCCATGTGAGATAAATGAAAAATCAAACCTGTTTTTTAATATTTCCATCATTACATTTTTTCCTTAATATCATCTAAACCCCCTTCTAGATTAAATTTAAAACAGCAGGGGATGGTCCAAATGCTTGGGCCCTTGCTGTCTCTGTGGATGGAGTTCCTGCCTCCTGATTTCAGGCTGGTCCAGAGCTGGCTGTTGCCATTTTGAGAATGATCCAGCAGATGGACAATCTCTCTCTCTCTCTGTCTCTATCACTCTGCTTTCAAATAAATAAATCTTCTTAGAATACCACCAAAAAATTTTAATTATTAGAAGTATCTTTCGGGGCCAGTGCCGTGGCATGGTAGGTTAATTCTCTGCCTGTGGCACTGGCATCCCATAGGGGTGCCAGTTCTAGTCCTGGCTGCCCCTCTTCCAATCCAGCTCTCTGCTATGGCCTGGGAAAGCAGTGGAAGATGGCCCAAGTGCTTGGATCCCTGCACCCATGTGGGAGACCAGAAAGAAGCTCCTGGCTCCTGGCTTCGAATCAGCGCAGCTCCAGCTGTTGCAGCCACCTGAGGAGTGAACCAATGGAAGGAAGACCTTTCTCTCTCTCTCTCTCTAACTGTCTATAACTCTTCCTCTCAAATAAATAAATAAAATCTTAAAAAAAAAAAAGAAGTATCTTTCATGCCAAAATTACCAGATGTATCTTTTGGGTTTTAAAATTAATAATCTTTACATTTACCAAAGTAATATATGTGCATAGTTTAAAAATAATTCAAGGCTGATAGTGAAATATAAAAGACCACCTATTCAGTTCTGCCCAGACAACCCTTGTGACAATTTTAGTTCTTCTGCTATTTGCCATGTTTCTAAGTCATGTGCTTCTGTAGATATGATGACTTCTTGCTTTGAAAGGTAAAGATGTTTATTCAAATCCCCATATTTTTGTGTATGTACCACAACAGTCATAATTAACCATATTTTGTCTATGACCACACATTTTTCTTCCAATTCCCACACATGACAACCATTTATATAGGTTTTTTTCTATCCTATTTTTTTTAAAAATTACCCAGCTTTCAGTAACTTTTCATTTTTCTCTATGTATAAACTTTATGTATTAAACCCCTGAAACACCAGGTGTACATGTACCACAATATACCCTCATCCAAGCTAAAATCAATGATTTAATCCAAGAAATAGAAAATGACTGTGGTTTAGTCTTGCAAGACATTATTTGTACAGCAGTTGAAGTGAGGGGTCTAGACTAGATTTGTTATAAAATACAACACATAGAAATTTCAAATCACTAGGAATTTTTTTGGGTGTGAGGCAATAATGTCTGACACATTTTCAATGCTACTTTGCCAATTTAATTTGCTTAGATGTTCAATGTGAATAAATGTGTTTTTCTCATGGTTCCCTGCAAGGCTCATTGATTCACAGATCCTTTTAATCGTTTGACACTCAGAATATGTCCCAATCTCAAAATATGGAGAAAATAAATCTCAGAGACAATAAACTTGTTATAATAAGAATCAGTCAGGATCTGGAAATCCCAACGCATTCCCTAAGACTCAGCGTGTAAATTCTGAACTCTTAGGGCTAGCGTATAGGATGTTAGGGATATTAGGATGAATAAACTTGGCATGGTTATAAGGACTTAATGCACAATGAGTAATTGCATTTCCTTTTGAGAGTGCCATTTACTTTGGAAATGTACTCTGAAGAAATTCCTACAGTTTACGATCCCCACAGTAGAAGATGGTCCAAATCCTTGGGCCCCAGCACCCACGTGGCAGACTTGCAAGAAGCTCCTGGCTCCTGGCTTTGGACTGGCACAGCTCCAGCCATAATGACTATTTGGAGAGTGAACCAGTAGAATGGAAGATCTCTCTCTCTCTCTCTCTCTCTCTCTCTACCTCTCTTATACTGCCTTTCAAATAAATAAATAAATCTTAAAAAAAAAAAAAAGCGGCCGGCGCCGTGGCTCAATAGGCTAATCCTCCACCTTGCGGCGCCGGCACACCGGGTTCTAGTCCCGGTCGGGGCGCCGGATTCTGTCCCGGTTGCCCCTCTTCCAGGCCAGCTCTCTGCTATGGCCAGGGAGTGCAGTGGAGGATGGCCCAGGTGCTTGGGCCCTGCACCCCATGGCAGACCAGGAAAAGCACCTGGCTCCTGGCTCCTGCCATCGGATCAGCGCGGTGCGCCGGCTGCAGCGGCGGCCATTGGAGGGTGAACCAACGGCAAAGGAAGACCTTTCTCTCTCTGTCTCTCTCTCTCACTGTCCACTCTGCCTGTCAAAAATAAAAAAAAAAAAAAAGCATACCTTTTAACTCTTTCCCATGCATCTTACAAAAACGTCTGGGAGTTGGTGTTTGGCTCAGCAGTGAAGACATCACATGGGGTGTTTGCATCCCATCTCAGAGTGCCCGGTCCAAGTCTCAGCTCCTCTTCCAATTCCAGCTTCCTGCTAATGCAAACCCTGAAAGGCAGCAGGTGAGCCCTCAGCGTGGTTGAGTCCCTGCCACCCACACAGGGACATTCAGATTGAGTTCCAGGCTCCTGGATTTGGCCTGGCCCAGCCCTGGCTATTTGTGGGCATTTGGGGAGAGAACCAGAAGATGTGAGGTTATGCGCCTTTCTCCCTGCATCTGTGTCTGATTTTCAAATAAAATAAATAAATAATCACTTTTTAAAATGTCAGAGTCAGGGCCGGAGCTGTGACGTAGCAGGCAAAGCCTCTGCCTGCGGCACCAGCATCCCATGTGTGTCTCAGCTGCTCCTCTTCCAATCCTGCTCCCTGCTAATGGCCTAGGAAAGCAGTGGAAAATGGTCCTACTTCTTGGGTCCCTACACTCACATGGGAGACCCAGAGAAGCTTTTGGCTCCTGGCTTTGGATGGATTAGCTCCAGCTATTGTGGCCATTTGGGGAATAAACCATCAGATAGAAGACCTTTCACTCCGCCTCTCCCTCTCTGTCTGTAGCTCTGCCTCTCAAATAAATAAAATCTTAAAAAAAAAAAAAAATCAGGGTCAATTAATTAAACCCAGTAGCAGGAGGTGCAAAAGGCGTTAAAGACCAATCAAACCACTATATTCCAAAAGCTGTACCTATGAAATTTATATTAAATGAAAGTTTTCTAAAAATAATAATAATAAAGTATACCCTGCATTAGAAAAAAAAAAGACCAATCGAAACCAAATAGTTTTGTATTTCTCCTTTCCCGCTCTGCAAAAAAGAAATTTGAGGGGGCTGGTGCTGTTGCCTAACAGGTAAAGCTGCTGCCTGCAGTGCTGGCATCCCATATGGGTGCAAGTACGAGTCCTGGCTGCTCCACTTCCTATCCAGGTCTCTGCTGTAGCCTGGGAAAGCAGTAGAAGATAGGACAGATCCTTGGGCTCCTGCGCTTGCCTGGGAGACCCGGAAGAAGCTCCTGACTCCTGGCTTCAAGATCAGCGCGGCAGCTCCGGCCATTGCAGCCATCTGGGGAGTGAACTAGCGGATGGAAGACCTCTCTCTGTCTCTCTGTCTGTGCTTCTCTGTAGCTCTGCTTTTCAAATAAATTAATTAATTAAAAAAAAAGAAAGAAAGAAATTTGAGACCAGTACCAGTAAAACTGTAAACTTCCTTTTTTTTTTTTATTAAGAAAGCATGCAAAAAAACAACAACTTGTGAGACCATACACCCCCCTTCCCAGCCTGCACCAATGCAAAGCATTATGGGTGGTATGAAGGACTCACCAAACCAGAAACATGGGGGTTGAGGAGAGGAAGGCTGGGACAGGGGATCTATACCAAATAATTGCTCCTTCCGTCCCTCTCCTCCACTGTCTCCCTTACTTCCTCTTCTAGGCAGTGAGCGCCTGCAAGTTTGCACACATCACCTGATACAACAACACGGACTACACTTCATGTCCAGCAACGCAGGACCAACAAGAAAAAGTAGTATTCTTCCCATTTCATGGAAAGGAGGGGAAACTGAGGCTCGATGGGAGTCACCTTTATCCTGCGCCATTTAACGGGGCTGGCCTGGATGCAGGGGAGCTGGAATCCCGGCAGGCCCGAGAGCCAGTCTCCAGTGCCAGCCCCAGTCGGCAGTGACTCTGGCTGCCCACCAGGGTTCTTAATTATGAGACTACTTTTCAGAAGACAGATGAAAAGGGGCATTTACATGTATGATTTAGCCTACCCTTGCAAATCCTACATGGATCTGAGAGGGAGGGGAGCTTAGAAAGGGGAGGCATGGATTTGTGAAAGGAAGATGGTGGGGAGACCCGAGGGGGAATCGTGTGTGGGATGGACCTCAAATGGAAGGAATATGGACGACAAAGGCCTGACAAAGGGACGCTGGGCAACAGCATCTTGTCCCCCTCTAGGCGAAATTCTCCTTTCCCTAACGGGAAACACTAGGTCATACCTGAACCCCACAAAGCACCCTCCAACATCACGAGACTCAAGCCACTGTCCCCCCCACTTCTTTCATACAAAGGCTTCAGAGAAATAAAGTGCTTGTCAGTTAACTGCCCCATCTTGCCCCTTTTACTTCAGCCTCACTGGGCTTCTTCAACAAGCTCAAAAATAACCCCCTTCCAAAGAAAGGGGAGGGGAGGGGAGCAGGGAAGTGGAAAGCCAAATCTCTTGTAAATGCAGATAAATAAAATATGAACAAAGAGTAGAAATCATGGAGAGGGTGCCCTTGTCCCTCCCATTCATTTTGTCCTGCAGCTTTAGAAAGGGAAAATTTAGTGAAATAAAGTTGGAAGTAAAATTATTCTTCTCTTCCCTCTTGTAACTAAAATTCAATCATGAACATTAAATATACACCAAGGACTTTGCCGCAATAAATCGTGGCCACCCTGTAAAAGGAGATGCACTGTCCCTATACCTTCTAAGTTATTTATTCTCCTCTGTCAATCTCCTTCACCCTTCAAAGTCTAATTGCAAAAACTTCAGCCCCTATGATCTGAATTCCAAGAGAAGCATCTGTCTATATGGTTAAATAATGGTGATATTCCCTACCCCTTTCTATACCAGCTTTTCTTCTCCTCACCCTCCTACCATCAATATCATAGGTTGGACTCTGCTGTGAAAGTGGGAAAGAGATTCCCATCATGTCTAGGACAAGAAAGAACTCAGAGTGACAATGGGTTGCCCTTTTCTCTCTTGAGAATCCCAGAAAATAGAGGCATAAAATAAGATGGGCAAACAACAAGAGGACAAAATAATATTTGCTGAATGTGGGGGGGAAGGATGAAGGATACCTTGCAAATGCAAATAAGAGCCACAGTTAATTTTCAGAGAAAAGTATCTTTAAAATGCCAAAGTGGTTATGTTGAAAGCATTCCAAGAAGCTGAACCTATGGTGAATAGTTGACCTCATGCCCTACCACAGAAGCAGAGTTTGGGCTAAGACCAATCCTACCTCCTCAGGGAACAGGCTATGAATAAACCAGTGGATGTGCACACAGCATGGCAATCTGCACCCACTTTCCCAGGGAGCTGTGTTCCATCACTTCTCACAGTATCCTACCGGGCCCAGGCCAGGTGTCTGGTTCCACTAGGACTTTACTGTGACCTTCCAGGACCGCCATCAGCACTCTCACCCTTGACGGGGAATGAGGGCTGTCAGAATCGAGGACTGAAGGGACAAAGGGACAAGGAAAAGCTCAAAGGGCAGGGTTAGCACCATTGAGTGAAACCTGCAGATTCCTGGTTGCCAAGCAGTGTTTTAGACCTCTTCTACTTGATGACGCAGTCCCTTCAGTCCTGGCCTGAAACAGACAGCAACAGCAATAGGGCCAAAAGGTGGGAAGAGCATTGAGTTTTTCAAAAAGAAAGGTGAATTAGAACTTGAAACCTTTCTCTGTTGCTGTCATGACCCCATCTTCTAGCCTGATGATTTTAAATTAGCAAGGGGTGGACATGGTCTATGGTGTAGGGACGGGAGACTGGGGATGGTATATAACCAATAATAATAATAATATAATAAGAATAATAATTAAAGAATTAGGAAAAACCAGGAAGGAAGAGAGAATGAGGCAGGAAAGAGGGGGCATCTTCGGCAGCATCTTGCGGTGGCTTCTCTGACAGAAAGAACACAGAGGATTACATCTATGTACACGTGGGGGAGGGGAGGCTGGGCTGGCTCTCTCCCCCTGCCAGACTTCACCACCCGGCCCTGGGCTGATGGCCACACTCTGACGCGTTAAGTGATCAAGTCCCAGTCGAAGTCATCAGGGATCTCCTCGTTGGCACCAGGGGGTGGAACCGGTGGCCGAGGGACCATGTGGTGTGCTGTCAGGAAGAAAGAAACAGGATGAGAGGAGCCTGGGTGAAAAGCTGCTTCATAAGGACAGGGACGGGGTTCACCCCAGAGAATACCAAGAAGAAGGCCATGTGGGCCACTGTCCTCATCAGCCTACAGCCCGCCACTTCAGTGAGGTCTCGTGATGTAAACCTGGTCTCAGGGAAAACCAGGCCACACGGCAACACGAGACGACATTGCCACTATGAGCCACACAGCTGCAGACTGTGTAATCATGATAAGATAACATATTGCATATAACATTTGTATGAAATAGGATAGAAATTGTATTTTTATCACAAAGCCAAAGAGTCAGATGTCACCCAAAAACACTTGTGGTTAGGCAGCGTGATAATAATGGTTTTTCTAAAATGCATTTAAAAATGAAAGATCTGTTCATTTGGTACTATTGTGATGGCAGTCTAGTGCCTCCCTATCCAAGACCCCTGACAACAGGGGTCAGCTGTAACAGGAAGGAAGACATGAGCACAAAGCAGTTATGTCTATTGACAGATTCATTTTATTTCCTTGAGTATAGCTCCTACCTAAATTCCAAGCTCGGCACAATTGTCCCACATACCTATCTTTTGCTTGTACCTATTGCCCCATATGCTTTTACCTCCTCTTATGACTGCAGTTATAAGCTAATTTTAAAGTAAATCTGGGGCTGGCACTGTGGCATAGCAGGTAGAGCTGCCACCTGCAGAGCCAGCATCTCATATGGGCACTGGTTCAAGTCCTGGCTGCTCCACTTCTGACCCAGCTCTCCCTTATGGCCTGGGAAAGCAATGGAAGATTGGCCCAAGTCCTTGAGCCCCTACACCCATGTGGGAGACCTGGAAGAAGCTCCTGGCTCCTGATCAACCCAGCTCCAGCCGTTGCGGCCAATTGGGGAGTAAACCAACGGATGAAGACCTCTCTCTCTGCCTCTGCCTCTTTATTACTCTACCTTTCAAATAAATACATAAATCTTGTTAAAAAATAAAGTAAATCTGTTTTCTTTTGTCTCCCCTGATGTATGCCTTCCTACCAAGCAGCTGGCCCTCCATCCTTGAGAATCACAAACACTCACCCCCTCTAGCAAGTGCAGGCGAAAGGGCAGAGAAAAAAGCCTCAGAGTCATTAGGAGGCAAAACAATTGATCAGGGTGGACAGTGCTCTGCTGGTGGTGAAACTAGCTTCCTGGCTCTTACCTGGACGGTTGTATCCTGCTGAGTCCTGGGAGGAGATTGGGTACATTGGTGATGGGCCAGGGTAGAGGTGGGGGCCTTGTGGGTGCCCATAGGAGTTTACTGCCAAAGCAAGCCAGGAGTTACTTGAGGGGTATCACCGTACTAAATAAAGCAAGCATGGGAAAAAAAATGTACCCTTCTCCCCAGTGTTCTCTTTCTCCCTTTCCCGTCTGGTCTACAGTTCCTGTTGGCACAATGGCTTTCTGCAAAAGCTATTATTCTTTACCCTTAGCATGAAAAGGGACGGATCTCGATGGAGGGACACCAAATACAGGAACATGATCACCAAATCTCTCCCCCTTTACTGGCCTGCAGCCCATGCACAGTAGAGAATCACTACTCGACCTGGTAGGACCTGGGTAGTGGTTACGGAGACACAAACAGAATGGGGACACATTTCCTCCCTTAAATTGCTGCGATCGCCCAAACTCAGATCTATTTCTTTTGCATGTTTTAGTACAGGGCTTCACTGACTCGACAGCTGTTCAGCCAACACGGCTAACAAACCAGTCCCACTGCTCAGGCTGAATCACTGCTCACAGAGTGACTTCTCTCAGTTCTCTTTCTCCACTTTCCTACCCCTCCTTTCCATCGGTCTCCAACTCCATGCAACTGGCTCTGTGTGGTACCTTGGTTCATGCCTGGCTCCTGTTTGCCACTGGTGAGGGCAC